ATTATAATAATAATAACAACAACAACAACAACAACAACAACAATAATAATAATAATAATAATAATGAAAATGATAATAACGATAATAAATAAATAAATAAATTGTTATAAAATAATAATCATCATCATATAAATTTGGACCTTCACTGAAAAACAAGCCAGCTGGCATGCAATCATATGTATCATTAAATTTCAACTTTTAATGTCACAGTCTTTATTAAAACTTTTGAACAATACAGCTCCAGAGTTTCAGCCATGCCACCATTCTTATGTTAATCTTTCATTTGTCACCATAATTAAAAAGCATAATCAACCATACTTTGTATTTTGCCATTCAGAACAGTTAAAAACACAATCCAGTGTCAGTGGCAGTACAATGGTTATCTTATGTGGCATTTTAATGGTATTTAGCTGGCATTACCAGTCCATGAAACTCATTATAAATATATCTCTTTACTCTTTACTGTGCCCTTCCACGTTAATGAAGTTTTACATTTTTGTGAATATTTAGTTTAAAATGGTTCTCGTGGTTTTTGCAGAAAATGTCTGGAGCGAAATTAATAATAAGGCTGCTTTTCTATTTTGATGCACAAATATGTGTCTTAATTATTGCTTCTGACATGTTCCCCCGATGTTAGCTCAATTTTAAAAGAAAAACTAATTTCTGCTTAGTTAAAGTGATTTATGTTGCCCTTTTTTCATCCATATTCAGTGTTTGCATGGCGCTGTTTCAGCCTATCTCCTATGGCTGTGTAAATCATGCAGGGTGCAATCTTGGAATGAGATTTATCACTTTACTTATATGATGATGAAGAAGAAAATACAATTGCAGGCTTCATAAAGCACCCTGTCACTTTAGTGCAAACTAAAAACAGGGTGAACTTGAGGAGGCAATCTTATGTAACGTCTCCCTGAGACGGTGTTTTTTCTCCAGAAAATATTATAGAAAGAAGATTGGCAGCAGGTGTGGAGCAGGAACAGCAGGCAATTTGCATCCCTCCAGGAGGCAGATGTGGAGACAGCAGCATGCGGACTGCAACCTTTTTTCTCCCTGGGCGCCACTCATCCTCAGGCCAAAATGGAGTATTTCTTTGAAAGAGATGAGGCAAGGAAGGGGTGAGGAAGTGATTTCTGCCCATTGAGCATACAGCAGCGACCTGATGTTCTTTGCAGAGAAAGAAGAAAGTGCATTATGCGTGTTCTGGGATGCTGCATACGTCAGAAAACGTTGAAGATGACAGGCCAAATCTCCACAAATCGATGGATTTTATAGCCTGGCCTGCCAGACTCGTCCTCTGTTTAATTCTGCACAGAGGAAGAGTCTGGTAACCAGGGGCGGATTTAGGACTGAAGAAGATCCGGGGCTTAACACGCGCGCGAGCACACACACACACACACGTAACACGCACTAGTCTTTTCATAAAACATTCGGGGCTTGAGCCCAAGTAGCTGGGCCCAACGCCACCCCTGCTGGTAACTCACAGGCAGAGAGGCGCATGAGGTGAGGGACTAGGCAGGTCAATAATAACCAGTCTGATAAAAGACGGAAATGCCAACTGACGCTGTAGTTTTTTAGCTGTAGTAAAAAAAGGCACCTGGCAAAGACGCAAACATCTTTTCTTTTTTAGAAGAAAAGCTTTTAGCACTGCGATGGACTGGCTCTCTGTCCAGGGTGTACCCCGCCTGATTGCCCGTTGACCGCTGGAGATAGCCCCCCCCATGCCCCTGCGTGGACAAAGCGGGTTCAGAAAATGGATGGATGGATGGGCTTTTAGCGCTTCTACTTGAATGTCTTTAAAACCACAACAAGTTATTTACAACAGAGGAAAGAGCCGCAGCAAACTCTGCTTCAGTCACCATGTTTATGACAAATCCTTTGTTTTTATTACAGAAGAAAGCTATGAGAATTATATTTATAAAGTAGATGCTAGAGAACATACCAATAGACTTTTTATTGAATCAAAAATTATGAAATTCAGGGATCTGGTTAATTTGAAAACTTTACCAATTATGTTCAAGGCAAAAAAGAGGTTACTGAAGTTTTTTTGTTTTGATTTCAAATGATGGAAAAAAATAGAAAGAAACCTGAGTTTAAAAGTGTCATGTTGAGGGGATGGTTAGGACCCAAAATGCAGATTACCCAGACAACAAGAGGCAGGAGTTGTTATAAAGTAAAAATCCTTTTATTGCAGGATGAACAAAAATAAATCCAAAAGGCAGCAAGCCAAAAATCCCAAAGTCCTGAGATCCTGGACACCGAAAGCTCACCTGGAGCACAAAACCTGAGAACTAGAACTAAAGCTCACATACAGAACAAAAACCTGGGACAAGACACAAAGCTCACACAGAGCACCAAAAACAACGCTGACTAACAACAATGGACCAACAAGACAATGAGACAAGACAGGGCCTATATAGACTGGGAGGAGCAATTAAGGAAACAAGCAGCAGGTGTGATGTTAGCCTAAATCAGGACAAGTGGGGGAGTACAGGGAGGTGGAGTGTACAGTCGGTAAAGACGGCTCTCCCTTGCCCTGCCTCCAACATGCCTCCATCTAAATAGGATAGATTATCCAGAGTTATCTCTGTAGTTATGCTGCTATAGGCTTAGACTGCTGGAGGATACACTGACCACTTTCCACACTCTACTGCTTTCTTCTACTATCTGCTCTTTCACTGTATTACATTCTGCAATTTCAGCTGTTAACTTTATTTTCTCTCTAAGTGTTTTGCTCCCCAGAAGAAGCTACAACGATGTTCTGCTAAGCTGTGGTGGCCTCATGGAGGGGACCATCGTCTAGCACACTGCTGCTAACCACTAATACATTCTCTCTCTCCTGATAATAACTTTTTGTTTTCATTGACGTTGGACGTGTTACTGCTAGTTTACCCATTTAATTATAGATCCACTAGGATTAATACAATAAAGTTTATCTCACAAAATAGAATATTTACTAAGACATCACAATAGAACTATAGACACATTAGTGTGTGTGTGTGTGTGTGTGTGTGTGTGTGTGTGTGTGTGTGTGTGTGTGTGTGTGTGTGTGTGTGTGTGTGTGTGTGTGTGTGTGTGTGTGTGTGTGTGTGTGTGTGTGTGTGTGTGTGTGTGTGTGTGTGTGTGTGTCTGCCTGCTCTGTCTTCTTGATCCCCAGTGAGTCGTGGAGGATGGTTGCTTATACTGAGCCAGGATTCTCTGGAGGTTTCTTCCTGTTAAAAGGGAGTTTTCCTCTCCACTGTCGCTGCATGCTTGCTTAGTATGAGGATTGCTGTATAGTCACTGACACTCGTCAGTGACTTGATGCAATTTGCTGGGTTCCTTATATAGGACACATTATTTCTGATTGGCTTAATGAACTGTGAATTGGAATGTTTACTGTGTGAAGTGCCTTGAGACGACTCTTGTCGTGATTTGGCGCTATATAAATAAACTTGAATTGAATTGAATTCAATTGGAGTGAGGGCTGGAGGGAAAGCAGGTGAATATAATTTTCTAAATGGGGAACAGAACCAGAGGAGGGCAGAAAAACCTAAAAACTATAAAACACAAAACTAAACCTAAAGACTGAGGGAAGGACTCACACACACACACACACACACACACACACACACACACACACACACACACACACACACACACTACACCGAGCTGAGGAAGGACACACACACACACACATGCGCACACACCAAGCTGAGGAAGGACACACACACACACACGCACACCGAGCTGGGGAAAGACACGCACACACACACACACACACACACACACACTGAAATAAAAGACCTATAAAAACTGAGATGGGGAGACTAAGAGACGTGAAGAGAACCAGGAGGGAGCTGGGGACAAAAAGGCTGGAGCTACAACAGAAGACACATAAATGAGACATGGACAAAAAACACATGAGGGTGCTTATGAGACACAAAATGGGAAACTAGAGAGGGATGGAGAACATGAGGAGACACATGAGGGAAGATGCAGACGCAGACCATGACAAAAAGAGTTTTTGCACGAACAACATTAAAGCAAATGTGTATTTCAGTAGATGGAGTAAAATTATGGAATAATCTGGATCATGATCTGAAAAAAGTTTAACTACCGATCAATTTAAGAGACTATATAAAGAAAAAATCATAGAATCTTATGATTGATAAGTAAATATTGAATGAGTATTGAATGAGAGAATTGATAAGTTTTATTGTGATTTTGTTAACAAAGATAAGGAAGTTCTATACTTGGTTTGTGTGTAAGGCCATTCTGTAAATTATATTGTATGAAGTAGAAAGGGGTAGGTCATACAAGACTTGTTCTTCCTCTCCCTTTATTTCACTTAGGAGACTGTTGATGATTGTATTTTGCATGAATGATGAATGAAACTGCAGAGTGAGAAAATAAATGAACAATTAACAATGACAAACTCGGTGTTATGGTGAGTTATGTATGCTACTCAATGCTGATTGGCTTGGTTAGAATTCTGGGGGGATGGGGTTATTTGAATAGGAGAGTTCCCAGACCCTTTCTGTGTGCAGAATTAAACAGAGGAAGAGTCTGGCAGGCCAGGCTATGGATTTTAGCTTCAAAACATGTCCGGTAAATTGGGTACCTGGACATGTGAGGCCACTTTGGCAGCTTGGCCTTTGTAAGCTTCATTTGACTTTTTGTTCCACCAGTTTCTACTAATCAGCCAGGCTTTTAGAAGGGTTTGTGTGACATTGGAACCCTAACTTAAATAGGAAGCTGCACACTACTGAGAGTTTTTGTGCAGAGAAAAATAAAGCAAACTTGGAGTGATTTTTCCTTCAGAAATGTCTTTGCTTTGAATTGAAGCTATTCCATAAACATTCAGTTGTAGTTTGGCACAGAAACGCTGCAAGAAGAAGAAATGCACAGCTTAGCAAAATCAAGCTTTTGACTTGAAATTGGAAGGTTTTTTTTGGGACAGCATATGCCGTGAAAAGAAAAAAAAACGATGCAACTTCCTGTAAAGCTGCAAATTTGAATAGGCTGTGCCGCATTTCATCATTACATGTGCTCTTGGAAAGATTTGCTCTATTCACGCAGCTTGATGCGCATCAAAAGAACTCATTAACTGGAAGGACCCAAAGTGAAAGGCGGCAAGTTTGTGTCTGCAGGGAGGAAGGGGTTGGTGTGTTTGCATGTATAGTGCATGTATAAGGAAGTGCCCTGACTCCCTCCTCACCCTCTACTACCAGAGCTCTCCCGACCCTCAAAGCGCCTGGACCCGCTGTATGCCTCTGTGCTTCAGCTCTAACCAGCCGCCTCTCTGCTATGGTCGTCTTCTTTTTGCGCGACTCGAATTTCAGCACCACAGACAGCTCCAGCCTCGGCACCACCTCCGCGACGCCCCGGAGCCCCGATGTGCTGAGCCGGACCGGACACACGGCGGTGGCTGTGTGCCTCGGCTTCATTTTAGTGGCGGGCATCCTCAACAACGCGCTCACGCTGCTCGTGTTCGCCAAGTTCCGGTGCCTGTGGACGCCCATCAACCTGATCCTGCTGAACATCAGCCTGAGCGACGTCCTGGTGTGCGTGTTCGGCACGCCGTTCAGCTTCGCTGCCAGTCTGTGCGGAAGGTGGCTCATCGGAGAGCTCGGCTGTAAGTGGTACGGGTTCGCCAACTCGCTCTTTGGTGAGTGACCAGAAAAATAAATCAATGAAACTTTTAAGGAACAAAAACATAGTTTTTTCCTACTCACTACTTCTCTCATAATATCATAAAGTTTGGTGATGATTTAATCCTAATTAATTGCAATCAGTTAAGTTTAATTCAGGTTCAATATTAAACTAAAACAAAATGACATTAATCGTTAACTGCAGTCTAGATGATGTACTGTGAATACATACAGTGAGTACAGAAAATATTCAGACCCCTGTCAATGTTTCACTCTGTTACAGCCATTTGCTAAAATCAATTAAATTAATGGTTTTCCTCATTAATGTAAACACAGCACCTCTTACTGACAGAGCAAGACATAACTTTAGAAATGTATTCAGATTTATTAAAAAAGAAATACTGAAATATCACGTTTTACTTAAGGAGACAAGCGGCTCTGAGTGCCAACCAGGTGACTGCATGAATGGACCATATCACAAAGTATTCAGACCCTTTGCTCAGTGTAGGAGAAGCACCCTTTGGAGCTAATGCAGCTTCTTGGTAAAGATGCAACAAGTGTCATACACCTGGATTTGGGGATCATCTGCCATTCCTCCCTGCAGATCCTCTCCAGTTCTGTCAGGTTGGATGGTGAACGTTGGAGGACAACCGAGTTTAGGTCTCTCCAGAGATGCTTGATTGGGTTTAAGTCAGAGTTGAGTCAGAGTTTCTGTGAAGCCACTCCTTCATTATTTTAGCCGTGTGCTTAGGGTCGTTGTCATGTTAGAAGGTAAACCTTTGGCCCAGTCTGAGGTCCTGAACACTCTGGAGAAGGTTCTTGTCCAGGATTTCCCTGAACTTGGCCACATTCATTGTTCCCTCGATTGCAACCAATCGTCCTGTCCCTGCAGCCGAAAAACAACTCCACAGCATGATGCTGCCACCACCATGCTTCACTGTGGGGACTGTTTTGGACAAGTGATGAGCAGTGCCTGGTTTTCTCCACACATACTGCCTAGAATTAAGGCCAGAAAGTTCTATCTTGGTCTCATCATACCAGCAAATCTTATTTCTCACCATCTCTGAGTCCTTAGGTGTCTTCTAGCAAACATCATGCAGACTTTCATGTGTCTTGCACTGAGGAGAGGCTTCCAACGGGCCACTCTGCCATAAAGCCCTGACTGGTGAAGGACTGCAGTAATGGTTGTCTTTCTACAACCTTCTCCCTTCTCCTGACTGCATCTCTGGAGCTCAGCCACAGTGGTCTTTGGGTTCTTCTTTGTCATTCTCACCAAGACCCTTCTCCCCCAGTAGCTCAGTTTGGCCGGACAGCCTACTCTAGGAAGGGTTCTGGTCATACCAAACATCTTCCATGTAAGGATTATGGAGGCTACTGTGCTCTGAGGAACCTTAAGTGCAGCAGAGATGTTTTTGTAACCATGGCCAGATCTGTGCCTCGCCACAATTCTGTCTCTTAGCTCTCAGGCAGCTCCTTTGACCTCGTGACTCTCATTTGCTCTGACATGCATTGTGAGCTGTAATGTCTTATATAGACAGGTGTGTGGCTTTCCTAATCAAGCCCAATCAGTATAATCAAACACAGCTGGACTCCAGTAAAGGTGTAGGACCATCTCAAGGATGATCGAAAGAAATAGAAAGCACCTGAGTTAAACGAGCGCCACAGCAAAGGGTCTGAATACTTAGAACCATGTCATATTTCAGTTTGTCTTTTTTAATAAATCTGCAGAAGTTTCTAAAAGTCTGTGTTTTTCTGTCAGTAAGGGGTGCTGTGTGTACATGAAGGAGGAAAAAATGGATTTAATTGATTTCAGCAAATGGCTGCAACATAACAAAGAGTGAAAATTTGACAGGGGTCTGAATACTTTTTGTACCCACTGCATTTTCACATGTTCATGTGCATTGCAATTTCAAACAAACCAACAAAAAACATTTATAAGTGATCTCACAAGTGAGTGTATGTGACTTATTTGGTTTGTTTTTATTTTATTTCCTTCTCTGTGACCTTGTTTGTTTATTTGTTTATTTATTCCTTCAAACATGACACAGTTTTAACAGATGTTCATAATTATTACCTATGTGGTATTTTCTGCTTCCCAAGGCATCGTGTCCCTGGTGTCCCTGTCAGTCCTGTCCTACGAGCGCTACAACACCGTGCTGCATTCCTCACAGGTGGATGTCTCCGATTTCAGGAAGGCTTGGCTCTGTGTCGGGGGCACTTGGCTCTATTCGCTCCTGTGGACACTGCCGCCCTTCCTGGGCTGGAGCAGCTATGGCCCGGAGGGTCCCGGTACCACTTGCTCTGTCCAGTGGCACCTGCGCTCACCCACCAGCATGTCATACGTGTTGTGTCTCTTCGTCTTCTGCTTGATCCTGCCCCTTCTGCTTATGGTCTACTCCTATGGGCGGATCCTTGTCGCCATCAGAAGGGTGAGTTCATTCACTCAGCTAATGAATGGTTTGGTTTCTGCGAATCAACACGTCAAACATGAGGTGGAACTAAATTGTTTTCCCTGGTCCCAGTTACAGCCCAAAGACAAAATAATATAATCAAAACATAGTTGTCCCGCTCTTAATGCTCTGAAGCCTCCTGCCTAAAAGGAGGGAACAAGCAGAGAAAGGTAGTGATGGTCATTCATGATTGGAGGTGTAGAAGTCGTGTGATGGATAAACTGAATACCACGGTCTTCTATGCAGCTTTCACCACCCTCTGCAGAGCCTTTTTCACTGCTTCAGAGCAGCTGCCATGCCAGATGGTGACACAGGAGCACAGAACACTCTCCACTATGCAGCTCCAGTTCAGCATGTCTCAGTCTCCTGAGGAGGTAGAGGCACTGGTGTGTCTTTCTAACCAGGTAGGAGGTGTTGCAGCTCCAGGTGACATCAATCAATATGTGGAGGCTCAGGAGCTGGAGGTCACTTCCAGCGCTGCCCTCTGATGTGCTGGGAAGGAAGGAGAGGGTGTCTACACTGTGAACTCATTACCAAAATTCAAAAAAGTTATTTTCTTTTAATATTTTTAACAATGTAGTATTATATATTTTTTAGTTTTCATTAAAGAGACAATGTGTAGTTTTTAACCATTAATTTTTTGACAAGTTTTTTTTCATTTACTCACAATTAAAAACAAAACACAAAATAGGTTTGCAAAAATAAAAAATGAAAAAGGAACAGAAAGAAGCAAAACTTATGTTATCTGTTCCCCTTAACCAAAATAAATACAATTGACAATAAAGTTATTATAGTTAAAAAAAATGTCGGACTTTGACAAAAAATGGAGAGAAAACAAATACGCACACAAAAATTTTTTTCTTCTTATATTAATAAAAGGAGAAAACAATCAAAGCAAAACAAAACACACAAAAAAATAATAGCTAAAAAGAAACAAAGTAGAACATACAATGTGTGTTTTCCCTTTCATTCTCTCTACTTCATAAATATGTCTATCTCATGACATCTTATAAGCTAAGCATTTTATTTTTGATATGTATATTAAAGGTATATATTTTGATATTCTTGATTTGGGTACTTAACTTATTCCACATTTTGACTCCATATATTGATACACAACATTCTTTTTGATTTATGCTGTTTTGGTCTTGTGTATATTTTATTGTCTTTCAAATCATAACTACTCCATAATTTGCTGGAAGGAGCTTTTTGTCGACTTTATACATAAATTTCAAAATACTATAATCTACTAGGTCATAAAACTTTAATGTTTTTAATTTAATAAATAATTGGTTGGACAGATTTTTGTAATTGCTTCTTGTTATAATTCTTATTGTTTTTTTGTAGGATGAAAACTGAATGTGTTTAGGTTTTATATGTTAGATCCCAAATTTCAACACAGTAGTTCAAATACAATCAATGAATTGAATAATAAATATAGGGATTTGTCATCTAGTGACCATTTCACTTTGTGTAATATTGCGATTGATTTAGCTATTTTAGTTTTGATATTGTTTATATGTAGTTTCCAAGATAAATCCTCATCAATGATGACTCCCAAAAATTTTACTTCTTTTACTCTTTTAATACAGATTTCTTCTAATTTTATTAATGTTTTTATATTCAGCTTTCTATTTCTGAATATCATAAAATATGATTCATCAGTGTTCAGTGAAAGCTTGTTCCCATCAAACCATAATTAGATTTTTTTTCCAACTCTGAATCACTTCTATCATTTGATCAATATCGTCTCCTGAATAATAAAAAGTTGTGTCATCAACAAATAAGATACACTTTAACATATTAGATGTAGAGACACTATCATTTACAGGTGCTGGCCAGTAAATTAGAATATCATCAAAAGGTTGAAAATATTTCAGTAATTCCATTCAAAACGTGAAACTTGTACATTATATTCATGCAATGCACACAGACCAATGTATTTCCAATGTTCATTACATTTAAATTTCATATTCATAAGTGACAACTAATGAAAACTCCAAATTTGGTATCTCAAAAAATTAGAATATTCTGAAAAGGCTGAATATAGAAGACACCTGCTGCCACTCTAATCAGCTGATTTACTCAAAACACCTGCAAAGGCCTTTAAAAGGTCCCTCAGTCTTGTTTTGAAGGCACCACAATCATGGGGAAGACTTCTGACTTAACAGCTGTCCAAAAGACAATCATTGACACCTTGCACAAGGAGGGCAAGACACAAAAGGTGATTGCTAAAGAAGCTGGCTGTTCGCAGAGCTCTGTGTCCAAGCACATTAACAGACAGGCGAAGGGACGGAAAAAATGTGGTAGAAAAAAGTGTACAAGCTCTAGGGATAACCGCACCCTGCAGAGAATTGTGACGACAAACCCATTCAAAAATGTGGGGGAGATCCACAAAGAGTGGACTGCAGCTGGAGTCAGCGCTTCAAGAACCACCACGAGGAGACTCATGAAAGACATGGGATTCAGGTGTCGCATTCCGTGTGTCAAGCCACTCTTGAACAAGAAACAGCGCAAGAAGCGTCTCGCCTGGGCCAAGGACAAAAAGGACTGGACTGATGCTGAGTGGTCCAAAGTTATGTTTTCTGATGAAAGCAAGTTCTGCATTTCCTTTGGAAATCAAGGACCCAGAGTCTGGAGGAAGAGCGGAGAAGCACAGAATCCACGTTGCATGAGGTCCAGTGTAAAGTTTCCACCGTCAGTGATGGTGTGGGGTGCCATGTCATCTGCCGGTGTTGGCCCACTCTGTTTCCTGAGGTCCAGGGTCAATGCAGCCGTCTACCAGGAAGTTTTAGAGCACTTCATGCTTCCTGCTGCTGACCAACTTTATGGGGATGCAGACTTCACCTTTCAACAGGACTTGGCACCTGCACACAGTGCCAAAACCACCAGCACCTGGTTCAAGGACCATGGTATCCCTGTCCTTGATTGGCCAGCAAACTCGCCTGACCTTAACCCCATAGAAAATCTATGGGGTATTGTGAAGCGGAGGATGCAATACGCTAGACCCAACAATGCAGAGGAGCTGAAGACGACTATCAGAGCAACCTGGGCTCTCATAACACCTGAGCAGTGCCACAGACTGATCGAGTCCATGCCACGCCGCATTACTGCAGTTATTGAGGCAAAAGGAGCCCCGACTAAGTATTGAGTGCTATACATGCACATTCTTTTCATGTTCATTCTTTTCAGTTGGCCAACATTAGAGAAACAAACATTTTTTCATTGGCCTTTAGAATATTCTAATTTTCTGAGATACCAGATTTGATGTTTTCATTGGTTGTCACCTATAAATATCAAAATTAAACGTAATAAACATCGGAAATACATTGGTCTGTGTGCATTGCATGAATATAATGTACAAGTTTCACGTTTTGAATGGAATTACTGAAATATTTTCAACCTTTTGATGATATTCTAATTTACTGGCCAGCACCTGTATATAAATAACAAATAGTTTAGGGCCTAGTACTGACCCTTGTGGTACTCCACAAGTAATATAATACAGATTGGATTTGATATTGTTCATTTGAACATGCTGTTTCCTGTCATGTAATTAACTCCTTATCCAGTTTAGGGCTGTTCCTGTTATGCCATATTTACTACGTTTTTTTAGAAGAATGTCATGATCTACTGTATCGAATGCTTTTTCTTAGGTCAGTGAAGATACAGTACTCATCAAATGGTTCTTTTTGTCAATGGCTTCCGATATTTCTTCTGTTAATTCCATTAGTGCCATTGAAGTTGAGCAATTTGGTCTAAACCCATACTGAATGTGATTTAAAATATTCTATTTGTTCAGGAATGCATCCAATCTGGTAATATATAGTTTTTATAATATTTTTGAGAATCGTGACAGAAGGGATATAGGTCGGTAGTTTGAGAAAATATGTTTATCTCCACTTTTGTGAAGTGGAATGACTTTAGCTATTTTCATTTTGGTAGGAAATATGCCAGTTGTAAATGATAAGTTGCATATAAGTAAATGGATGGCTAATATTCTCTATTATATTTGTTATTATTATTATGTCTAAATCATCGCAGTCAGTTGTTCTTTTATTGATTAGTTTTTTTATTACAATTTCTCTTATTTCTTCATTAGTCCCTGGATTTAATAACATGCTATTTTTGTTATAATTTTTTCGCCTATGTTATAATTATTTCATTTTGGAATGTTGTTTGCCAAGCTTGGTACCACATTAGTGAAGAATTTATGAAATTCATTGACGATTTTGTTTGGATCGTTTATTTCAGTGTCTTCATTTAAAAAATAATTCGGAACAGTTGAAACTGATTTATTTCTTTTTGGTAACATTGTTTATTATTCCCCAAGTTGCCATTATATTGTTTTTATTTTTTTTCTAGTAGATTGCTATAATAATTTTTTTTTTGTCTTTTTATTATTGAAACTAATGTACTCTTGTTTTTCTGTGCTCAGCTTCGCTGGTTCTTTGTTTTAAAAAGCTTCTGTATAGGGCTTTTTTTTTCTTGCAGGCATTTTGCAGTTCTTTTGTCAACCATGGTTTATTCTTATTGTCTTTTTTGTAATTTTTTTTTTTATTTTACAGTTTTTTTTTGTATTGACTGCACAATATTCTTATAAAAGAGCTGTAAGCCAAGTTTACATCATTTATATAGATTTCATCCCAGTTTTGTTGTTCTAGGGCTCTGTTAAATGAGTCTATCAGTCATGATTCCAACACTCTCCAACCCCCTGAAACATTACTAAATATGTTATCTATAATTGTTGAGCTTTGTACAGTAATTCTTGTGGGTTTGGTTATCAGTGGAAACAGACCAAGTAGATGCATGGAATTTACAAAGTCATTTCATAAATTGTTTGTATTTTTCAAATCAATGTTGAAGTCCCCACAGAGAAACAAATTCTTGTTACAGATTCCACTAAACATCTCCGAAATTGTATTTGCGAATGATTCAATACAGGAACCTGGTGATCTATAACTGCTGTTTATTATTAT